ATCCGCCTTGCCAAAGGAGAAAAGCCCCCACCAGTATCTGTGAAATTAAACAGAGGGGGCGGGGGGGGCCCACAGGTGCGCGCGCATGCAAGCACACAAACACTCATACACGGAGGTCTGGCAATCTTCCTCTGAGGGCCCTCCAAAAAAAAAGGCGCACTCAGCAGCAGCAGCTACCCCTACCATGACAGGGGAGCAAACTTTGTGAGGCGAGCCCAGGCAGCCTCCAGAGCTGAGGCGGCTGAAGCAGCACGAAGAGGAGGAGGAGGAGGAGGAAGTGCCAATCAGCGAGCGGCTTGCTGGCGGGTCGCGCCGGAAGGCGGGGCTTAGCTTTATCGGCGGCCTCGCCCAGCCCACCTGCGCGGCCCCGCCGCCAGAGGGCCGCTTTCTTGGCGCCTGCGCAGTCGAGGTAGAGCGGGCCCATCTCGCTCTTGGAAGGGCGGGAGGCGCTTCCCTGAGGGCCCGCGTTGTTGTTGTTGTTGTTGTTGTTGTTGTTGTTGTTGTTGTTGTTGCTGCTGCTGCTGCTGCTGCTGCTGCTGTTGTTGTTGTTGTTGTTGTTGTTGTTGTTGTTGGCTCTTACGTGGAACGGCTTCTGGCGAGCCCATGCATGGGGGAACCTCCTCTGACAGGTTCTCTCCTGAGCGATCTCTGCCCAGGCCGTGGATTCTCGGGTGGAGTCGCTCCATCCCACGTCCAGCCTCCTCCTCTTCTCCTCCTGCTGCCGCCTCCCACTCTCGCCAGCATCATCCTCTTTTTCCAGCCAGCCTTGTCTTCCTGTGGTCTGGCCGCCAGAAGACCCGCTGAGCCGTGGGGTGGCGGAACTGGAAGGGACCCTCAAAGGGCATCCAGCCGTAGCTGAAAGCCCACCCATGAAAATCCTATTCAAAAAAGATTTGCACCCAAGTCTCAACCAGGAGAAGATTGGAGGACAGTTTGGGTTTAAAGTACATTTTATTCACTACCATTCAAGTCCTTAAAAAGAAGTTGAAGAAGAAGAAGGTTCTGCAAAGTGCCTCAAGGAGCTGGCAAAGTGTGTCCTCCTTTCGGTCTGGCCGTCCTCGCTTGCCCAACCTCTCAACACTTTGCTTTTAGGGGCAAAAGAGCCTGACAGGAACGCCCCCCCCCCAAAAGGACACTTCACAGTGAACCTGAGCAGGGCAGACGTGTGCCAATTGAGAAGAGTGGAGGGTAGAAAGAGCAGCCGGAGAGTCTGGTCTCATGTTCTCCCTTCCCGAACATATCTTGGCCATTCCATTCTGCTGGAATTTTGCCCTTGCCATTCTGCAAGAACCAGGGGAAAAAAAGGGAGGGGGAAAGAGGCTTGAGTCGGACTGGATTGCTTTCCTGCTCCCATCACCCAAATGCTTTTTTCCAGCTGAACTTTCTTGAGGGTTGGATCCCGGAGGAAGACATAGGCAGCCTCCCCAGCAACATGGAGAGCAGCAGCTTCTTCCCCCACCCGCTTTGCCATGCTTTCTTTTCCTCCAGTCAGTGGAGGGAGCAGAGGTCAAGCGGAAGGCACAGGAGCGACGGCCATGTGGCAACAGGAGAGTTAAAAGGCACAAAGGACTTTCCAGGTTTCTGCCTGGGATTTTTATGGCCAGATCTTCCTTGCCTTGAGGGCCTGAACTTACAGAAAGCCTCCCTGGAGTTAGACTACTGAAAAAAAAGATATCTATGGGCATCTGGCTGAAAGCTTTGGCTAGAAATCCTGAAATCCCAAATGGAAATCCTGCCCCTTTTGTTAAAAATGGATTACCTTTGCCTCTTAACTCCGAGAACGGGTGTGCACTTCACGAGCCATGCGGCACAGCTCGCACCAGCCACAGAGACACATGGACAGGGCATCCCTGCAGACGGTCCCCTAAGCGGTTCCAACCAAGAAAAACATTGATGTGAGAGGCCACGTCACCCAATCTCGAATTCAGGTGTCCTCTGCATATAGTACCTTCAGGGACAGTCAAGAAGTATGAAAAAGGACTCGCTGGGATTAGATTCTGGACTACAGTTCCCATCAGCCCAGGCCACGGAAGCCAATCAGGAGGAACAGTGGGGGCAAGACTCTGACAACATGGACGCGAGGGCATTTTGTCTACCTGTGCTCTGCATAGTTGGCCTGAGGGAGAACAACTCTACACGCTACAGTACGGCACCTGGTGAATGTTGACTCAGTCTTTCTAAGTTACGGGTGGAAGCTGGGATTGTTTAGTCAAGCAAAAGTCGCCTATTGGCCCAAGGCTGGAGGAAGTGGCTGCAGTTGGGAACTAAGGCTGTGAGCACCACTCTCCCCTGAACAGCTTTGAACACTTAACGTGGTCCACAGACATAAACTCTTTCGTGGTGCTGCTCCAACCTGCCACTGCCAAGAACCATTCTGCTTTGACTTCAGGGGAAGAGCCAGCAGAATGTACCAAACATGAAACCGTAGTGGATTACCGGAATCCCATAGGAGAGGCGCATGTGAGTCCGTAACGCTGTCAGGCCACCGGGCAACATCCCAAGGAAACAATGCTCTCCGTATTTGTGTGACACGTAGCAGCACAGGATCATGGGGCAGCAAATTCCAACACAGCCTGACAAAGGAAACACACATGCACATGTGCATGAACATCCACCAACATAATGAACAGGACAAGCACTCGGTCTGCTCTGTAGGCCTGCAGAGTTACCGTGCAATGCGTTTGTTCTGATCCTCTCCAAAACAGGTCATTTTTCAAGGATCGTTCCCAGCTTTCCTCTTCCCATGCGCTCTGCTGGCTGATGGGACTTGCAAGCCAGCAGCGTATGGAGCCCCACGCTCTGCGCATTCTCTGAGCTAAAGAATTTGCCCATTCGCATCCTGGTCCAAAATAACCCTATTATTTTGCTTCTTGTAAGAAGAAGCTTGGTGGTACAATCCTGTAAACATGTCTTGTTGAAATAAAAACCTAAGCAGCTTGAAAGTGGGGACATAGAATAGTGGAGTTTAACAAGAGCCATTAAAAAAATTCAAAAGAAATTAGAAATATGGATTGGGCACAGGATGCTAACAATTGCCAGGATTAAGAGACTGACTCAGTGCCAAAGCACTAAAGTGCAGGGATAGAGAGGAAGGAACCCTGGAACATGTAAAATCCCAAAAGCTAGGATGCTTTGGTCATGTCATGGGAAGGTAGAGATTGTCACAGTTGATTGTTCAAAATAAAATCAATGAGAAAAGAAGTGCTGAGAGGCAGAACCATCCCAGAATGTTAAGAGACTGGTTTGGATGCAATGTAATCTTGCTGCCTAGAGCGCCTGGACCTTGACGGAGTGGGGTCCAGCCTCTCCTTTGTGAGGAGGAGCCAGAAGACGAAAAGGAGGTGTTCAGCCGTATCTTTCAACAGCAGCTTGCTTTAGGCATGTGAAACAACACAACAATCCAGGAAAGGGTATGCCGGCTTCTAGGTTCCTTCCCCCTAGCCCTAATCCTCTCCACCTCTCTCCTCCATACACAAAGTTGTCGTCCCCACCCCCTGACTTCAGCCACCCCAGCTTCTCAGAGGAAAAAAGAACTCCACTTACACAGGGGGCAGTCTGCACAACAGTCATACCTCCCGGAGGACCAGCTGCCTTCCGAGGACAGGGTCACTGGTGACACCGTGCTAACTGGCTGGCAGACCATAGGCTGCATCATGGAGGAGGGGGCCCTGAAATGATGACCGCCCCACCTCTGCCTCTGGAAGGGTAATCCAAATGGCGTTGCAACAGCCAGGCAAGCTGTGTTTGTACTACTCTTTGTTAACAGGGACCTCAGTCTTGCCACAGGTTTAAGCAACAGGGAACACAAAGCAAGGGGTGTGTGTGTCACATAGTAGTAGCATAGGGGCTGCTGAAGATGGCAGGAAAAGGTGGCTCTTTTGGTGACGAAACTGACTTGAGGAACTAGTATGTATGACTTATCAAAAGAACTGTACCCACAACCCTCCAAACAGACTTGCAAAATCCCTTCTTTGCCTGCAATTGCTTGCCTGTTGCAAAGTGTCACAAGAGAATACCGCACACCGTGACACGAGTACCTACACAAGAGAGTTCAGCAGTCAACACTTGAGATACTACAGTGGTCCACATTTCCAAATACTGTAGTGGCCAGGAAGCAGCGGACCGAGGGCTCTGGGTTCCCTCTGGACCAACCTTCACCCACCAGATGCCCTCCAGATACTATGGTCTATAATTCATCTTATGTTATCCCCAGGACACTGGGAGCTGGAGAAAGTGATAATTGTTTGTGTCTTTTTTAAAAATAATGCATAATTTTTGAAACAAATTTGAGATACATGAGCAGATGAAAAAGCGCTGTGCCGCACCTACAGTCTAGTCATACCATGAACTTCACCACCTCACTCTTGTTGCCTGAACAGGCCAGACCTTGGCCGTGAAACAGGGGCGATGGGACTCCTGCCATTTGCAGTTGTCCTTCCCTTTCTGCTTAGAACAGGGACGAGGAACAAGCCCCTCAACCGAACCATCAGGTTGATTTATTTTAAAAGTGGCAAAGCCTTCAGGATAGTTTGAAATAAACAAACCAAGCAGAGGGAGCGCTGACAGTTGAACAGTTTATTGGGGATTATTCTCAGGAATGGTGGCCCTGGAGGGCAGATTCTGCTCAGACCGGAGTGCCTTCGTTCAGCTGTTCTTCCTGCTTTGCCTCACTCTCTTGCTTTTCGAGTTCCTTTTTCCTCAGTTCTTTCAAGATCTAGAAGGTGAACAAGAAGAAGTGACGGTGCTGCTCTCTCTCTGTTACCTTTCTAGCCCACCCTCACAATAACCCTGCAAAGCGGGTCAGCTGAGACCGTGGGAGAAGCTCAAAGTCACCCCATGAATTGAGTCCCAATACAGTGGTGCCTCACACAACGATACGGGAGAAGCTCAAAGTCACCCCATGAACTGAGTCCCAATATTTCATTCTCTACACCACAATGGCTCCTTGTAACATTACTGGACCTTAAGTCCCACCGAAGAAAGACCATCTCATTTTTCTGATGGCACAAGAGGTGGCCAGTTTCTCTGACAGCCTCAGCATCTCTCCTGGTGGCTTCACGATGGCCATCATGCTGGGGGGCAGGGAAGAGGTACTCTTTATTCCATGCTTTGCAGCACAGTGAAGCCACACCCTGCTATAGCCCTGATGCTCACAGTGGCTGCAGCTGCACCCAGTTTATTCCAAAATTAAGAAATCCCCACCCCACCCCAAAAACAGCAACCACTTTTACCAAAGCTCCCCGCAACACTGAAGGGTTTTCAGGGAAGGTGGAGGCAATTGTTTTGAGACCCTAGCCTCTCTTCTCATGTCCTTCCTTTGGAATCTGCTCCTGAACTGTTTGCAAACCCTGCCCGGGGCTTCCTTTAGACATGGATTCCCAGCCATTTCCCTGCCGACGTCTTTGGTGCAAGAGCCCAAGTGCTTCTCCCTTCCCGCTCCTCCAACATCCGGGCTGCGGCCTCTGAAACCATCCCAAGCCACACTGGCCAGCTGCTCTCTACATACCTTTTGGCGCAATTCCCTCTTGATCAGGTAGCGCCGGCTGCGTCGCTGGCGATACTGCACTGGGAGCACATATTCGATGTCCAGCTCCTTGCACGTTTTCTCAAAGACGTCATAGCGACTCCTGCGCAGGTAGCCCAACAGCTGCTTCCTCCGGTCGATGGCCATCAGCAAGCAGCGGTAGGTGGCTTTGTCCTAGAGGAGGAGGAGGAGGAGGAGGAGGAGGGGATGTGTCGGTGAATGACCCTGGCGGTGATGCAAGGTTGCCCACGGACTGAATCTCTTCCCGTGTTGCATCACGGGGCTATTGATCTACCAATTAAAATGCACAAAACTGCACTGAAGGACCTTAAAAAAAAACCCACACACCTTAGGAAATGAAAAGTAAAATGCAGGTTATTTTAAAACAGGACTGGTCATTTATTTGAAGGAAGGGGTTTCTTCCTCCAGAGGACTAAAATGGCTCTCTGACAAGCATGTTTGATGCCAAACAATATTGTGCAAGGACCAGTTTTGAAAAAAAAAGATGATGTTGCTCCTTTTAAAATTTGAATGCCTGTACAGACGCTTTTGAGTTTCTACCAGGGATGGGGACCTGAGTTGTAGGACTTGCTCTCAAGGACTGAAGTCACACGAGGGACTTGACTCGGGGTTGTTGCTGTTTTCCTTCACTGACACGGACTTGACTTGTGACTCGGAACCCACCCGTCCAACCCTCCTTTTGTGTCTGGGGAGAAAAGCTTGTTTTTCGTAGGGATTCAGACTTGGGGCTTGGACTCAAGGACTTGCGAACATCCCTGGCTTCCACATGGAAAATAAGCTAGCCGCTTGTCCTGGATTCACTAAGCTGCACACTCTGCTTAGCTCTCTCTTTCTACGATTCTTTGGTACAAGCTTGGCTGATTTGGGATATGTTATTATCTCTTTCATGCAGTGAGATGGGGCCATGAATCAAACGCTTTGTTTTGCTGACCATTCATTACCTTCGGGTGCATATGCATATGTTCCTGGCTTGTGCGAATCTTGGCCGTCAAATATGCAACTAGAACAGCAAAAGACAGTCATTGTGGGACAGCTTGAAACAAAGGGGAATTCCTCCTCCCCCCCCCCATCCCGGTGCCCCTTCTGGCACTCCCAGGTCAAGATGGATGCAGCCAGCAAAAAATGGCCAGTGACCAACCTTATGCAGGCTTACACTAGGAGTTCACCAGACAGTCTGCTGCTGGATGTGATGAGATCAGCCACAAGCTTCCATGAAGGTGGAGGTGGGCAGAAAAAATAAGACTGAGGTCTACTGGTAGATTTGCTGGAGATCCACAAGGATTGCTTACTCTCTGCTGCTTCACAGCAACAACCACAACATGTTTTCTGTACCTAAGTTAGGCTGCTGAAAGGAAGGCGGCTCAGGATTATCAGGAGTGGCCTTGGATGCAAACCCTCAGTGCTGTCCTGACCTGGGATGGAACCCAAACGACCTGGGATGTGCCAGGAGGCCGGCTCTGGTGGCTGGACCTACTCAAAATCAAAGCCGACCCCACAAGCCTGAAGTCTGCTCAGCTGCTCCCTCAGGGTGAATATTCAACAGCAGGAAGGGCGAGGAAGTCGGAGAGATTCGCTGGCTAGAGACTTCTGCTCCCAATCCATCTTTGGGCTTCCCTCGGCCAGGGACATGGCATTCACAAGACGGAAGAGAAGGCAGCTTCCCTCCTGCAGCATCACTGCTGCTTACCTTGAACCTCTAAGGAGCCGTTGTCATTTGGGGACTGCCGGACTTTGTCTGCCAGTTGCTCTTTTTTTATTTTCAGTTTTTCCTTCTATGGGCACAAGAAGACAATGACACAGGTACTTGGGGCAGTTATATTTTCACTGTTTATTTGTTTTAAAGAGCACTTTCAGTCTCTGGCTAGGTTCACATCCTCATAAGGCCACCCACACACACACACACAAATCAGACCACTGTTCACAAGCATGCAAAGCAAGGTAAGAAGCCATTATGAAGTATAGCGCCTCCAGCATCCCTCTGTTAAAGGCAACAAACAATCAAATGGCCATCAGTGCTTAGAGCACGCAAAGCTCAGTCAACAGAAAGGGAGCTCCACAGAGTTCTGGGGCTACTGCCAGGGAGATTTTATCTTTTTGGACCCAGCCCATCAAACTAAGAGGTCTTACTGATGGGAAGTCGTATGAGACTTGTATTGAAATGTGGGCAGGATTGGGCAATAGGTGCATTTAGAGCAGTAGCAGGCCACTGTTCACATACCTGCTTCCCTACAGCCGAGGCAGACCTTGGGTTTTGGCAGCTATTACACTACTCAAAGCCAAGGTAAAACATGAAAGACAAGAAACTGAATGATTTTGGGGAGAGGGGAGAAGGACCCCATCCTGCCCCAGAAAAGGAAACTGACCTGTCTTGACATTTCCAGGGAAAGCAACCTTTTCACGACATCATCCACCCTGCAGGGAAGCACAGGATCTCTGGGTTATTAGGCTTTGAACAGCTGAACATTGTATGATTTCAAGAGCAAATGAATTAAAGGGAGTCCTGAGAACGTGATTTTTTTGTCTCGGGATGTGTGTAGAAACAGAGTGTCTATGGAGGGAAGGGTGGGTTTAACAACCATGCATGTGGTCTAGAAAGATGATCCCAGGAATAAAATAGCTGCAGGGCTTGCATCTGGGGACTCTGGAGCGACGGGTCAGGGCAGTCCAACACGCCACCAGCCTGGACGTCTGCAGAACTTACTTGTCCATAATTGGGAGGTTGGCATAGTCCTTCCTCAGCATCGTAGGAGGCAGGTCATCCAGATGGCTGGGTAGGGCTACAAAAGAAACAGATCAAAGCGGTATGAACACGAGAGCCAGCTTGCTGGATATTTCCCCTCCAGCACACTGTCTCCAACAGGGGCCTGGTGTTCTGCGACCGCTCATCAGCGCAGTGGGTGGTGACTGAAATGACGGCAAAAACAACAGTAAGAAGGACCTGGAAGGCAAAGAGAAGGAAAGAATGAGAGGCTCATGGGGCGATCCAAATGAGAAATTGAAGTCCCCGTAGGGAGACAGAAGTTAGCGCCTTAGAGGGCTAGAGGGAGATTCCCAGCTGAGAAACTGACCAGAGGCCCAGCCGTCATGAGAAACGTTGGCCCAGTCCTTTCCTGGAGCAAGAGAATGAGCTGTGCCTACGAGGGACGGGGCTCCTGCTCCCGGTCACCTTTCTTTTCCTGTCTCACTGGGGCAAGCCTCACAGCTGTAGTCCCCTGAAAACACACACACACACACAGAGCACCTTCCGGATCCGATAACTGAGAATGAGTTAGCACATACCCATCTTCTTTTTCCGGGCAGGCCTGGCATAACCCCTGCATGCTTGAAGAAAAGGGCTGACACCTAGAAAAAGAGAAAAGAAGCAGAGTGGTTCGATGCAAAAAGAACCCCCTCACCACCCTGTGTGTGTGTGTGTGTGTCGGTTGTGCCCTCCAGTCACAACTGGCTTCTAGGGATCCTTGGTGGGCTTTCAAGGGGAGTAGTATATTTAAGGAGGCTTTTTTAAACCTAGATCTGCACCAAGCATGTTCCCATGGCGGGTCAGGGATTCGAACCCACAGTCCTCGTCCCTCACTCTGCCCATTCCACCGCACTGGGAATGCCCTCGCTGTCTTCCTCCTCCTTCTCCTCCTTCTTACCCGGGGCCCCGCGGAGGCAGGCCCCTCTGCCGGTCACGGCGCCCCC